AAATTCTATAACTTTGCAAAGAAAGGTAGTGTAGAGTTGGAAGATATCTCATTTTAATCAGAGATTTGCGGTCTACAATCATGCCTCATTAAGAAAGGTTTTGGTTATTTTTTAGAGTTTCTGTAAACCTGGTTTTCCACATACCCGATCTCTGGAGACCTAGCAGCACAAACCGATGTCAGATTCGGATTTAGCGCAGTCGATTACCTATTGTCCACTAGATTTTAAGCAAAAAGCGATTGCACACTTGGGAACCTTTCCTCGTTAGAAACAGCACTGGATGATTTTAAATGATAATAAATCCTTTTGAGTCTAGTTAGATGACCATTGATTTGTACCTATGGATGGCACAGAAAGTGACCATAGGAATCTTTAATAATTTCTTGAATCAAGAAATCTTAAAATCAGTCAACTATGGTAATATTTTTCTTTTTGGACGGTAATTGTTTTGATCCCGTAAAAAATGCAGAACAGAGCCCGTATACTAAAATTTCGATAAAAATAGTAGAAATGATCCCGAATTTAGAAAACAATATTTTCGACAGAATTGATCCCGGAATAAACTAATTATTGTGCAGAATTGATCCCGGAAAACTTTTTTCTTTCTGCGAACAAGAGAATTAGTCCCGGTTGACGTGTGTAGTGGTCACATAAGATCCTCTTTCCCAAAGCTCTTCGCTGATTTCTATATACAATATTCAATTCATACTCGCATAGCGGATAATTTCAGTACTGTGAACATTTATATGTAATTGATAAACCACCAATGAATTGTTCAGTTCGATTTTTGCAGACACCTTGAGTTTTGATAAAACTTAATAAATCAGTTTCGTTTACACACGTAAAAACCAATAGCCATGTCTTTCGAGCCATAGTTTGTTTAATAGTGATAGTAATAGTCAAAAGTGATGTGAGCGAAAAAAGTATGAAAAAAGATGTGACCGCTACACATTGCTATTCTTTATGTCTCAGCGCCGTCTTTACATTTGCACCACACGTCAACTGGGATCAATTATCTTGCTCGCAGAAAGAAAAAAGTTTCCGGGATCAATTCTGTCGAAAATATTTTTTGTCTAAATCCGGGATCATTTCTACTATTTTTACCGAAATTTTAGTATACGGGATCCATTCTGCAATTTTTACGGGATCTTTTCAGCTTTTTTTTTTCAGCTTTTTCCTTTCTTTTTCACATTATAATCAAGTTAACATCGAAAATTTTTGGCAACAAACAATGTGATGAACCTTAAAACAAACTCTCAGAGACGAGGCGGCGTACAAATGAAATCACCATTTGGGGAGAAAATTTAGATTATCTGTTGTAAAATGCCTATAATCTCAATAGCTTCTGCCTCTATAATAGAGAGTTAGAGTGATGAATAGTTCGAGTTATTTCGTTGATATATTTTAAAGTTCGGTTTAACATTTCGTCTTAGTGTCTATAATATTGATTTTCTTCCCGTGATTATATTTGAAATTAAATATATTTAATATAATTGAAAAACGTTTTCGCAAATCATTTTACATAAAAAATGAGCTTTCGATACTTCACAGTATCATCAGCAGACGAATATGACTGTCGAATTTGGAAGAGAGATGATGAAAAAGGAATTTTCTAAAAAATTTCTTAAATCATTTATGTAATTAGATAATTAAACACTACATTCTCCTGCGTTGTCAGAATGAAAATCTTGCTCTAATCATTGAAAAATAGCTCAGATTATTTCAAGAGATCTCTGAAAAAAGTATAGAAAATATTTATTTATTTCCAAATACTTTTAACCATGTTCCATAGGCTCGACAAATGTCTGAACTTGAAAATGCTTTTCCGTAATACGATTTCAATGGTGAATCGATCTCATCTGTTTTAAGTTTTTGATTGAATCCCGTTTGTAAATCACTTAGATATGTTTTAACATTATTTATTCGTGTACTCGTTTCATTTGTTAATTCTTGTAAAAATTGATTAAATTCGAGTTTTTGATCAGTTTTGAAGAATTTTTCTGCTGCTAATGCTAGAATAATAGTTGATTTCATTTTTGATGGATAAAAATCATTTGGTGTAAAACGATATGAACGAAATAGAAATTTTTCACGTTGTTTATCACCGACTTTCAATGTCAGACCAACACGAGGACTCATTACAATTGTAGATAAAGTCGGTGTATTTGTCAAATTTAAATAAAGCATAGAATTCTTATTAAATGCTTGTACATTATTTTTCATTTTATTTTCAATTAATTCTTTTATTGAAGTAACACCAGCAATATTGAGAATTGTATCCACTACCAAACAACTACCCTCAAATATTTCATTTGTTTGTTTATTTTGAATTGATCGTATCAAAATACCGCCATACGTCTCATCATCACCATTTCCAAATGTTAGATCCAAACCTTTGTATGTACCATTTTTCCAACTAGCCGTCAATGATTTTCCAGATCGATGAAAATACCAATTTGGAAATTTTTTTTGTTCAGAATGTTGATGGGTAAAGGGGTCTAAATGTTTTTGACTATAATAATAGAATTCAATTTCACATATTCGAAATGATTTAGAATTAATAATTAATTCATATTTGTTGATGAGTTCATTGGCAATTAATTCAAATGCTGATTTATATGACTGACTATCGTCAGTAAATGAAGCATCGTTTATCAATAAAAAATTGGTTAATGGAATATCAGTAGTTATCTTCATGGTGGACACCGGTTTCTTTGCCACCGGTTTATCATCGGTTATTGCATCACAAACAGCCGATTTTACAAGAGCATTATCAGCTAATTTAGCTTCTTCCGTGCGCTTTCTCTTCTTATTCTGCCTATCCATATGATACAACAAATTCACTAATCAAAATGAAAAATATAAATTTTCTAAAAACATATAATTTCAGTATAGTTGATCAACTATAGTTTAAAAAAACAAAAATGAATCAACGAGATAAATAGAGGGCACTTGACAACACTTATTGATGCAGTAGGTTTTTGTACTTAATTGATACTTATTTAAAAGAGTTTAATATGCTCGAACATCATAGAATAACAGTTAGTGGATTCAGAACTATATTTTTAGACTATGTTTTCTTTTTTTCTTTCATACTTAATAGAGAGACCATGATTTTTTTATTTACAAAGTGAGAGAATGATGTACAAAAAAACAAATAAAGATATAATATGTATGCATTTGTCATTACAGGTAACAAACGAAATAAAATAAAAGAAAATAGACTCATCACACAAAGTAAAAATAGACGAAAAGAGAGCAAACACATATATATTGTATATCACTGTGATAAACTAATAATAATAATAATAATAATAGTAAGAAGAGGGCACTCATAAAACAAAAGTTGAGAAGGTTAAAAAACCATATGGCTCGTTGCAGAAATAAAACAAAAAAAACATACAAATATAACCTTGTTTGACAAGGACAAAATACAGCTGCGACACGTCAAACACTCTACAGTTCGTTAACAAAGAAAGGTAATCTACATCTTATCTAACAAAAAACAACAAAAGCGTTAGAAAGCTCTCCTTTTGGTGAAAACGATTAGAAAACACACAATAGTATAATATTGTGGAACTTAGAAATCTTATACAATGTAAAAAAAAACAAACACTACAGCTAACATTTTTTCGGATAACCGGTTAGAAGAAAATGCTAACAAAAGATAAAGCCCATATACTGTTTGTTAGTTAATATATTAAAGCACATCTATCAACAATATTAAATTAAAAGCTTCATTCTGGTCTACATTTCGACCGAAGTTTGTTCATATAGCAGAAAAAAGAAGGAGAGATTAATTTCGATCTAACAGCTAATCACTATAGTTTGTGTTGTAAGCAGCACGCATTGTACATATTACAATTATTAGTCGATATTTCGGACGGAAATATAAATGTTTTGATTAAATTAAATTAGAGCACACACTCACACACAGACACACTGAGTATACAATAACACAATCATAAAACATAATAGCTTCGTAATCTATAAAAAAACAAATAAAACGTAAATTATATAAATAAACTAGGATAATCAGCTATTATTTTAGGGTTTTTTCTTATTTCCGCGAAATAAACGTTCAAAAACATTCATTTTTTTATTATCATGTTGTTGTTGTTGTTGTTGTTGTTGTTGTTGTTGTTGTTGTTTGATCGAATCTAAACCACCATTATTAAAATCAGAAGATGATATCATGGAAGATGATTTGACACCGGGGGTCGGTGGTGGTTTAGATGTTATTGGACGATCATCTGAAGAATAACCGTTATTTCCATTTGTCGACGTACGTGGTGAATATTGTTGAGTAGAATTAAACGAATTTTCCATCGATGCATTCAATGGTGATTGTGGTGATTGTTGTTGAGGTGGTGCGGGCGCAGGACGCTTTTCAATTTTAGCTGGAACAAATACAGATACGGGAATAGTACCACGTTGAGAAATTGGTGAGATAACTCGATCATTATCCACTCGTTTTTGTACTCTAGAGAAGATAAATCGACATATGATTGTGATGTATAGAAAGATTTTAACGGTAAAACTTACTTGTTTGTATCTGAAATTGACGTATTTGAATCTCGTCGTTCTAACCCAGATCGATTTCGATTGTTATATCCCGTAGTAATCGATGACGATGATGATGATTGTTGAATATTATTTCGCATTGGTATATTTCTTGTACCTAATATTTTTGGTTGATACAATTCAGTACCAATCTGTGATGTTTCAAATAAAGCATGATCCATTTGATTTTCATCATTTTCTCCTCCCCCACTTAATTCAGATTGTAGCTCTACATCCATTATACTATTATGATTATCATCTAATAAATTATTATTTGAATTACGCATACGACTAGTTGTCGTCACGTTATTATTTCGTGAGTTTAAATTCGAACCGCTTGGTGTTCTTCTACCAGACATAATTGAACGTTCTGGTGTTGTACGACTCATGGGCATTGTTCGTCCAACACCATTATTGATACTACCAAGATGAACATAACCACTGACGGGTCGTCCACTAACGTTTCCGTTCGAATTGTTCGTAAATTTAGATTCTATACGTATTTTCGAATTTGCTTGATTATTATCGTCGGTTATCGAACTACTGTTGTCATCATGGTCAGCGCGATTTGTGCGTGCTTGTGCTGTACGACCACGTGCGCGTCCATCAACCGATCGAGATCGTTGATATTTGCTTTGTTGTAGTTGTTGTGCTTGAGACAGAGATGACTGTTGCTGTTGATATTTTGGGTTTGTGAAATTTGAACTTATGGATGAAATGGGTGTATCATTACCATTCATTGTTATTGTACTACACGTATCATCAAAATCAATTTCACGAGCTTTTAACGCTGGTTGTTGGGCTCCGCCTTTCAATAAATTTGAACACGACGTTGAACTCGATTTTGATAACGATGCTTTGGTACCAGTATAAGCCAGTCGATGAAACACACTGTCACCACTAACACTACTACCATTAGTATTTGGTGTTGTATGACCTAAAAGATATGAGAGGAAGATTATTGAGAAATGTAAACTTTTGTTCATAATTACCTGATTGTCGGTTTGTAAAATGTTGTTCGATTGTTGGCGGTGATTTCCCAGACAGTTGTTGTTGTTCACTTTCATTAAACTGTTTTCGTCCATTTGTTAGTGTAACCGGTAAATTTGTGGATTGTCTATGTGAGGCTTGTGTGACCGTAGTTGTCTTTATATTATTTGGTCTTGTCATTCTCCTTGTATTTAAACTATCGGAGGATGCTGTACTCGATGTCGATTGAGCACGATCTCTTAATAAATCTGAGTTATTGTTAATATTATCGTGTATATTCGATGACATTCGACTATTGACGTAAGTGTTGATATCATTTGGCTGTTGATTATTGTACTGCTGCACCTGACTATGATGGTACTGTTGGTGTTTATAGTCGTTAACATCAATTGGTCTAAAACCTGTATTTGTATTTGTTATTGTTGCGGGATAGGCATGATGAATGTAATTTGGATTGTTGCTATTATTATTGTTTAAATTCTCATTTTGATCTAAAAAATCCTCGTATGAATATCGACGAAATTGTGGTTCTAACAATTGTCCTTCACTCCGAGGATCACGACGCATAAATCGAGGTGGAATGGGAGGTTGAATATCAGCTGGTAGAGTATTTGCATAATGATGAGAATGATCTGTAGCAAATATTGATGAACTATATCCGTCACCAACTCCAAGTCCAATTCCAGACGGGTCAATCATAGAATTATCATCGCCTCTTAATTGACGTCGTCGAGCGATTATCGACTGATAGCCGGATGAAGTTGGTGGTGGTAATGGAGGAACAGCCGATCGTCCATTTGACCACCCATCATAACCTGAACGATAATAATCACTTTGATCATATGGCTGATTATTTAAACCACCATAATAATCAGTGGCCATTGGAGGGTTCATATCGTAGTTTCGTGGCTGATACGGTTCTCGCTGATGATAAGTATTGTGATTTACAGTAGACATCATACTATTTTGCATTTGAGAATTGAATCCTTCTAATGCTCGACGAACACTAAAGGAAAGATCAAATTGAGCAGCCGAAATCGGCATGTAATAACAATTTACTTACATTGGATCAGCTGAATACGTTGAGAGATTTGTGTTGTACATACCACCAGATTCACCACAGAATGGTTGCCTTGAATAAAAATCGTTTGATTGCATTGGATAATCACGTACTTGCCGTACGGGAGCGAAGGCCGAAGACGCTTGAGGTGTTGGATAGTATTGTTGTTGTTGTTGCTGATCATAGTCGAACGGACGATTATTATTATTACTGGATGTATGTAAAGATGGTAGTTGTTGATGATCTGAACTTATATTCTGATAATTTTGAGATAGAGTTGGTTGCGATGATCCTGACAAACTATGTTCACCTATATTTCTTGGTGATACTTTTTCATTTCCAACTGTTATGGGTGGTTCCATCGGTGGTGGATCGATTGTTGTTAAATTCCGATGAGGTCTCGTATATTCACAACTATAAGTTGAATAACTTTTTGTTGGTGTGGCATAATGTTGGGACGATTCGGCTGTTCGAACAAAATTAGATTCTAGATTTGTCATCATCGAACGTGGTAATAAAAATTTATCATTCGGGTTATTAACTAACTCGGAATTAGACAATAAATCATCTGATGAATGATTTCGAATTAAACGACGCTCATCGTTATTCCCAGCTGATGCTGTTGTTTGTTGTAGCTCGTGCGAATTATTATTTTCCATATCCAATTCAATATTTGATGACTGTCCTATGGTTAATTCACGTTGTTTTGTTGTTAACATATCTTCGGATTTCGAGCGTTGCCGAAAACTAGAATTACGCACGATTGTTTGTGGTTGTTCTTCTTGACTAATAGGTTGAGATTGTTGTTGTGATGATGACGCAACATAAACAGGATGTGTGGGAACACGTAGAACGGGTATATCTCGTTCAACTAAGGATTGTTGTTGATCATCATCAGATGGTGCACAAAATCGTTGATGAACAGAGACATAGGTGGTTTTATTATTTCCGTTATCAGTTGAATAGCGTGGAGTACAATTATAATTACTGTGGGACGGAGATTCATCAACTATTGTCGATTGTGTTTGTGGTTGAAGACTACCCATTGTGTAACTGTTGGTATACCAACCTGTGTCAATTGGTAATCTGTCTCGAGTACGATCCACGGGGGGTAAGGTTGAAGAATCTGAAGGCAAGTACGGTGAAGAATGAATGTTCGATCGTTTAAAATTTGATTCGAGGCGCATTAGTGCCCGCCGAGTAATCGGATCTTCAAATAAAAAAAGCATAGATTTTATTAACGAGTTAAAGAGATTCTAGGTATTCTACTAATTCCAGCCCATAAAACAGATTTACTAAAGATTTACCTTGTATATCATCATAATTCATTGATTTTGTTTGTGCTAATGCGCGACTTTTTTCATCAAAACGTTCTAGCGCTCTTCGAACAATTGGATCCTGTAATTCTTCCGGTTTAATTACATATTCATTTTGTAACTGTGACGCGAAATTTGTATCATCAAGATTATTCTCTTTACTTTGTCGTCTTTCTTTAATACGATCAAGTGTATTCAATCGTCGTCGTCCTTCTAATTGTAAAACATAGGGTGCCAGTGGTTGAATTAATGACGATGATGGTCGTGCTGGTGGTTCTAAAATCGATGATGTTGAATTTGTTATCATTAGATCGTTATTACTGTTACTAATGATCGTATTTAACGAAGTATTTGTGGATAAACTATGGTCGGTTATCGAATTTTCTAACGATTTTTCACTATCCATTATTGTACTTGTTCCATTACTAATGCCTAGACCACTTTCAGCTGACATTGTACCGGACAATGACAGACTTGATTTACGTTGACGAGTAGAATCGACTTCTACAAGAAAGAAAAACAAATTAACTTATTGCAACAGTTTTTGCGTATTATTGATACTTAGATCATCTTAATCTCAAATCTCAATACTTACTCTAAACATAATCGAGTGTTTTTCTTTTTACGATGTACAATATTTACATATTTAACTCCTTTCGATTAACATTGATCTATGTGCGTAATAAATTTTTTTTTGTAAATATATTGCGTAATAAAACATCGTACAAAAATACTAGATCGAACTTAGAAAGAAATCTTTGTATCCAGACGACCTTTTTCTCTATCCATCCACATTTTCTTTTTATTGGTCATATATTTTTATAGTATGGTATGGTATAGAGATATACTCAAAAAGAAAAAACAACCTTGATCGGCGATGGTCGTGGCTATATATTTATGCTCTTTTACCACACACACACACACACACACACACAAAAGAAAACGTTTTTTACTATTTTACTTTATACATATGTGTGAATATGCAAGTACTTGGGTATCCTATAATAGTTTGAATTATATTTACTCAGAGATAGAGTTTCATATTACATACAACTACCGAAAAAGAAGGCTGATTGAAAATTTTTTTTGAATGAAGATTAAAAGAATCAGAAAAAAAGACAAGTATAACGAATAAATGGTTTAAAAATCGTTTTTATCGTCGTAAAGTAAATATAAACTTTAATTTCATATATTAGTGTATAGACAAAAATACGATAATGATATATCTGTCCGAGTCTATCTGTTTTTAGTGATAAAGTCATATGTCATACATCTATAAGCTGATAGATCACAGACTAATGAAACATTGAATGAGACAAAAATTACTGTCATTCAAATTTTCGAAGAATTTTTATGTTTTGTTGCTAAATGAATGAACTTATATGTGAAAACGACTTCTGTTTAGAAGCATAATAAAAACTTTCCATTGTTTTCGATTATGCGTTGTTAATTAAAATAGATCAGATATTATTTATGTAGACAAAAAATACACAAATGTAAAAAAATGGAGCAAAGATATTTGATGGAATCTAAGCAAAATGTTTAGCTGTCAATATAAGTGTCAAAAATATATGTACGGTATATACAACTCTTATTTGAGATTATGTTAGAGAAGAACAAAAGGCTACACTTTCTTTCAAACATTAGTTCTTCTAAGCAAAATATAGTCTAATTTCTGAGTGATAAACCTTTAAATAATACACATTATTTATGGTAATGATTGTTTTACTTTGTACATCTTCTTTTCTCTCTACTATTATAACATCTACTTAGAATAAAAGAAGAAATATAAACATACATACAATTTACACATTTTTGCCTTGTGACTAGGGAATATCTAACAATATGCACGCAAACTAATCTTTTGAGACACTTTTAAATAAAATACTCATTGGTATGTCAATGCCATTCTACATTTTATGTATATGAGAAACACTAACCTCATATTTTCCATATCAAACATTATCCTCTCCTATTACGATTTAACAGTATTTAGTAGAAGAGATAGCAAATCACTCAATGGACATTTGTCTCTTCTATAGTTGTTACATGTTATTCTATTTTCATTCTGATTAAATATTTCAGAAATGTTTACCATACCTTGTTTATCATCATCATTGTGCGAGACAGTTGGCTGGTGTTTTTCCTCGTCATCTTGTTGATTTCTAATTGTGCTGTTGGATAATTGAACATCATTAAGTGATAATCGTTTATTATCATCTTCGTCTGTTGTTCCTGGATTAAATAAATTTAATGTCATGGCATAACTTAAACCAGCTTTTTCTGAATTATCTAATAAATTTCGTCTTGGCCGAATATAACTCTCAACAACGGCTGGTTTATCCAACAACGTTTCAGAAGTTGGAGAAATGGTTAATTGTTCATTTTTAAATAAATTTTCTAATGATTTACGCGATGTTGTTGATGCGCCAGACCACGATGATTTGCCTTTGGATGGATCATTTGGATTTGATGAATCTTTACCAACTACAGCATTCATTCGTTCTTCAAAACGTCGAAGAGCTCGTTGTGCAATGGGATCATCTTCTGGACAAGTAGGTGGTGTTAAAGGTTTAATACAATCACTGAGTGAAGTTGATTTCATTAATAATAATGTATCTATAGTGGGAGATTTCAACGGTTCATTAAATGTTACTTTCGATAATGCTTTTTCATAACATGATAAAACAGTATCAAGCGGTAATGATGTCTCTTTTTTTGTTTTTAATGGAGAAATTTCACCATCACATAGAATACAATCAACTGGTACAGTTTTTTTTGCCGTTATAGTTTCATCTTCATCTTCATGAAGTTCTTCTATAATCACACCCGAATATTTCGAAGAATCATGCATGTTACCGTTTTTGTCGTTAATCACAACCGATGTTTTAAATTCGTTTGGCAATGATTGTTCTTCTTCTTTTTTACTACTGTTATTCTCATTCTCTATTTCTTTTTCGTTATTATTGTTATTATCATTGACGATCGGTGCAATGATGTTCCCAGTAAAATCGTCTATGACTATTGTATTTGGTATATTAGAAGAGGAAAAGAACGAAAAAAGATTTGTTGTATTTTCACCATTATTTTCTTCTTTTACGTTCTTCTTCTCGTCGTCTTCATCATTTTTGATATTATTTGTTTCAATTGAACTGGTAGTAGGCTGTAATACAACGTCCATTGTTGCCTTATTATTTAATTTTTCTTGTTCTTCTTCTACTAAACGTTGAAAAACACCAAGGTCATTTTGATGATTTTGAATATTATTAATTTGTTCAATAATCAAAGGCTGTTCATTTTTTTCTTGTTGCTTTTGGCCAAATGATAATATTTGATCGTGGTCTTTTGTCATATTTGTTTCAATATTTATCAATTGCGTATCTAAATTGACAAATGATGCGTGAACAACAATGAGAAAGAGAACGAAAGAAAGAAAAGAAAGAAAAAACAACTGACCATATAAAGATTAAAATGTTACATGGCACTATAATATGCCACTATATTGGATTATATGCTATCATCGTATGGAAGAAAAACTATTAATAATTCATAACTAGAAAAAAAAAAGCTCAAAAATCTAGTCCGTATACGCTCAACACATCAGAGAAGTTCTCATTTATCGCAATTACTGTCTAAGATAAATAATATGCCTGAACATCTGACAGTGAAAAGGTCCCATAAATAATTTTAACGATCAAAAAATGATCTTTGGGTTATTCTGATGCATGGTGGTTTTTACATCAGTCTAAGATAATGGAAATTTAGAGAACAATGTTTTGTGGTGTTCACGTGAATTAACTGTCTTTGAAGAAAATTTTTATATCTAAAATAAATTATGTTCCATAGCCTTCAGTAGTCAAATATACAATAACGTCAGATCATATACATTTGTTTTTTAGGCAAAATGTACTTCCCTATCGTTCGTATGCTTGCACGTCAAAGTCTATTTCACGCACAACACCGAGTATCGGTAACAATAATAGCAACAACAGTAACAACATAAAGCCGTATTGTCTTCCAGTTCTTACTTCTTTTCTTCCATTTGTAGGAAAAGTATATTATTATAGAATAAATAATACGCAAAACACATTTTTTCTTTTTTTATACTACATCTCTGGATATACCATGACATAAAATATTATTTAGATTCTTGGTTTGTTTTTCCATTTTAACGTCTCATTTTCATTCTTTCTTTCCTTTCCATTATATATCATTTTTTTCATGTTTATGTTTAAAAACTCACATGCAATTTTTTTCGATAAGTTTTCTTCTTTCAGAATACAAGCGGCTTTTTTCTTTCTGAATTTTTTACGTCATCATTTTTCTATAAATATCGAGAGCAATGAAAAGCTTTCAGTTACAAGATCTTAATGATAATCATTTAATGGAATTGAGATTTCTTATCTAAACCTTCAAAAATTATAGTTCATTTTTAAGAAGAAAAAAACCACTACAAAAACTGCCTAAAGTCAAAAAATTTTTAAGGTGAAACAAACAAAATATCGTGTTTTGCCAGTTGCATTTTTTTTCTTTCAGTGCATAAGCGAGCGAGCCGTCCATTTACATTTTTCCAAACCGTCTCGTCTATTATTTTCAAACAAAAAATACAGTACATATGCAAGTCAAAGGGTACAGTCTAAAAAAAAAACGACTTCTTCAGAAAACTGAATCTGTACTTTTCATTTGTCCCAAATGGTAATCTGATGTAAGTTTTCTGAAAATTTGTAAAACTGATTTTTCCATTTTCCGAAAGAACAGAAATTAAGTTTTTCATTTTTTCAGATTCGTATTTGGAACATTTGTTTTCGAGAAAATATTAACTCGGAAAACATATTTCTGTTCTTCATTTTTTAAAAGAAACCGGCATCTGAATCCTTCTTTTTGTCAGCCACCTTCTTCTTAACCAACACTATACCTTTGATCATATACCGAATTATCTTTTATGCTGTATAAATATTGTCAACTGGAGATCTGCATACGTGGAGAGAACTATGTAACCCACATTCTAACCCGACCGACGTTTAGAGCCTGATTTGATCCGGATCGAATCAGATTTCAAAAGTTATTTTTTATTCAAAAATAAAAATTGAGCTTTTCATATTTCAAAGAACTTAAATAAAATCTTCAACTAGTTCTTTGAAAACATGAAGAACACATCTTTTTTTTAGAGTGTAGTACACAAAAGTCAGTTAAGTTTCCCCGATCATAAGTATTCGTGAATTTTCTCTCTATTTATAAGGAAAAAAACTGTCATCAACCAGCAAAGAGAAAGTTTAGTAGAGAAAGAGTAGTAAAGTGAACAAGTAGTTTCGATACCCTTTTTTGGAGGAGAACAGTTTTGATAAACATTTGATAAATTAAATTAGTAAAACGAGGTATGATGAATCCCCGTTAACTAAAATTTGATCATGAAACAGAATTAGTTGTATCAATTAATTCGAGTGATCAGGTGCATTATACTAACTGTAAGAAAAAAGGACAATAATCATATATATTTACCTTGATTAGTCACAGCATTCCCATTACATTGTACTGAATCAATATGAATTGTAACTAAATTCTAAAAAGTAAAATAAATCAGTATAAAATTTTTGCAAAAGAGCACAACATTCAGTCAGTGGTAGTATAATCGTTCAATTGTTTTATTCTTCTTTTATTCATGTTCAGAGTACATATTCTCACACAAATCATACTTTTTGACTGCTAGTAACAATAAAAAATTTTTGACTATACTGATCAAAAGTGATTTCGTCGCTTTTTTTCGTATTCGTTACTTACTCCACACCTTTACTTTTGTCATTGTAACAGCACTACATACACATGCATACACAGAGGGTATAAGTGCGCAGTGTTATGTGTATGGCCTCTTACGATTGTATTTATGTATAGTGTATATACACATATATCAACATGGACAATCTATTAGATACGAAGGAGAAATTTTTGTTTAAACTATTGATTTTTTACTTTGACAATAATGATGAGAGAAAGGGAGAATACGTGCACTTAGTTAAAATATGTATTTTGTAAACTTATTTTTAATAAATATTATTTTACAATTAGATTTAAAGGTATATGATGATTTATGACTATATTAAGAAAAATATAATGAACAAAGATGTTCGTAAAAAAAAAAAGAGACGTTCTCGAAGATAATGGTATCAGATCAAGAATTTTCATCTTGATCAACAATGTATGATAGTTTTTACTATCACTATTTTAGGGTGATTTCTGTTCAAGGACTGTTGCTATCATCTTTTTTCATTAGTACATTTATATTGTAAAAATATCTAAAATATCATAATCGAATCACCATACTATTTTTTCTCAGTAGAACTGTCTCAAAATAATTTGTTTTTTAGACTAGTTATTTCACACTTTTATAATAATAAAAGTAATTAGCGTAATATAATATAATGAGCATATTAAAGGAAAAATTTTTTTTAAAATATTTTGAGGAATGAAAAATAAATCAGACTGCTGATAACAGCTGAATTTTGCAAATATGTTTGAGAAGGAGGAGTTATTTTTCAAGTATCACTTGATATTTTTACAATAATATATCTTTTGAAATTAGGGGAGCGTAAGAAGATAACTCTTTTCTTTTTTTCACTACTGTTTTGTTCATTTGTCTCTTATTTCAAGAGTAATCTCATTTTGACATCTACCATTTTCTATTTGAAACAAAATTCATATTAAAAAACATCGATTCAGTTTGTTAGGATAATAAAATTTGTTAAAAAACAATATTTATTGTATTATTAGTTATATAAGACAGTTGGCAAATGTGTATTATAGTAGGTAAATAGAGCATCCTGTAAGATATATTTTACAGTTAGTTTGTCACGTCTGAAAAGAGATTACATGTCAAATCAAACATCTTTTAACATTCTACTAATAAAAAGATATTCTTGCATAGTGTTACAATTGTATATATGTAGTAGTTTCCATTTGACAAGTGACACTTTATCGACAACAGAAATCAACAACATAAGAAGATCAAACAATGTTTGACAGTCAACAACACATTAATGTTACCTTTCCAGGCATAAAGAAATATTTAGAAAAATGAATTATTACATTTATCTTCAATTATCCTACAATCTTAACTAATTTTTTTTATTCTATAATGAAATCTTAGGAACATACCTGCTGTTGTTCCTTATTTGAATTTTGATCTTTTAGTGTTGATTTCGTAAAGTCACTTATTTGATTTGAATCATTGTTATCTTGCTGATCACCTTTAATATTACTGTCATTTCTATTTGTATTTGTTTCTATTAATGGTGTCATTTCACCTATCGTCTTGGCTATATGTAGATTTTTTTTATTACTAGACGTATGATTATTATTATTATTCATTGTAGTTGAATTTGTTGAATTATTGCTACTAGTAAATTTTCGTCTTAAAACGGCTATAGATGGAAAATCTAATCCTAATAATGTTGTTGCTCGATTTACAGTTGACGTTGATGATGTTTCATTTTCATTTTGTTGTGTAGACGGATCAGACCAACGTTCAAGTAATTTTTTTTCTCTTGTTATCGCACTAGGAATATTAATACTATTAGACTCGTCTTGCATTGTTGTCGTTTGTTCAGATGAATACGACGACGTAACATTTTCTTTATAACAATTGTCTACTATCGCTTCTTTTTCATTATGATTATTAAATGCTAAACAAATATTTGGCGTTGATTTCGGTAAAAAGTTATTAACTGAATTACCGTTTGTATCATAGTCAGATGGAATCAATTTTAACGTCGTTTTTGTAGTTTCAACACTATTAGAACTACTTCGAGAAGGTAATGTAAGAAATTGATGATGTCCACTATTCAATAAGTCCTGTTCACTGATCCCATCAACAACTGAGAATGAACGAGGTATTGATATCTCTGCTAATATGGGACTAACATTGTTGCTATTGATTGATTGTTTAGTGTTAAATATATGATCAGACGATTTTTCTAAATAAGTGAAAATAAGAGATATATATTTGAGAGCTATTATTCTGAAGATGCATATATATATATATATATATATGCCCATTCTTTAAGAGAAGAATAAAAAGTCTGAGAAGAAATTTTTATAAAAATAATAACTTAGACTGTTAAAAAACAGTAAGGAAGAAAAGTTCTCTGATCTTATCACTGCAACAGAAAACATAACACAAAACAGTGTATCTTTTAACATCATAACAGACGACTTTATGGCGAGGTTCATAGTTCTGAAAGGTGTTGTATTGTACCTGGTCACTTAAGAAATAGTCTTTTTCCTTGGTTACTAAAAACCTATACAAATGTTTAGTATTAGAAGAGATCGCTTGTTTTTTTGAAGAAAAAAACATCGTTTTAATTAGTTAATAAACGATGTTGTAACATCAAACTCTTTTTATCGTGACATGATGTCAACTTTTAAATTTGTCTTCATGTTCCTTTAATAATACTTACTTTTGGTTCAAAGATTGTATGAAAATTCAAAAAATAACTTTTGAAGATGAAAACATATGAAGGAATAAATTTGTTCAATTTCTTATATTCAAACCATACTAGTAAACGATTGAAAGATTTGATTTAAAATTTGATTATAAAAAAATATTTTTGCCGTCAAAAGTGTCCACTCTTGTAGTTCAATAGGGACAACTGTTCGAATACAGAAAAAGAGAAAAAAAAGAATGTCGAATAAATTGATCCGTGTTTCTTGTGTACATTCACGTATTAACAGTTTACCTATTGTGTAATCCCTCACTTCTTTTTTTTTTATGGAGCAGTAAACTGTATACTTCATGTAGAGATGTAGGTATAAAAATACACAGCACATTCTATTGAAATAATAAGAACTCACATGTTCAGCAATGTCGCGAACAGGTCCTGTGCTAACAATAAAAAAACAACAACAACAACTCACTTGATTTTAATTTTTTACGAAATAGTTTTAACATCGATGTCTTCTACCATAAACAAGCTATGATAGACAAATGGTAATAATAACTAGATGTTATGACGATAAACTTGATATATATATGTGACTCTTAGCTTTATATTTATTCTTATAATGTTAATTTTTGTGTGTAACTCTTCTATCTTGTTCTAATTTCTTCTGTGACACACTATCTGCCTAATAACTATTTCATTAAAAAAAAGGGAGAAATTTGTTTTTTTACATGCGATCCGTCGTTCCGTTATTCACATTTCGAGAATGAGAGAGATATATATAGTACTAGGCAGAAGAAGAGACTCATCATATATAGATAGACAACAACATATTGTATAGCGAAGGAAAAAAAGGAGCAAAGCGAAATGTTTTTAATTTTTTTTATACATGTGAGTACACACGTAACGTAGACGCAGTTCTAATGTCATGGATGTGTGTAATGTAATGTACAATCAAATTTCTATGTGAATAGAGGCGAGAGAAAGGAAAAGAGAAACGAATATGTAAACTTTATCTCTTATCCTATTAGACACCCCGAAGTTGTTAGCGAATTTTAATTTGAATCTCACACATATACATATTAATCAAACAAGTGCGTTTATTTTTCTTTCTCTTTAGAGAAACAACAACAGTTTAAACAATCATTAAGATCCAATTGATGTAACATGCAACTGCACGCGAATTACGTAAAGAAAAATAATTGCTTTGATAAATGTCTTTAGGAAGCATAAAAATCTACTGATGGTGGTTAATTAAGACTAAGTCTTTTTTCTTTTTGAAGGTTGTCTAATGAATGTGGTGACTAAAACCTGTAGATACAATAAGCATTGTAAAATAGTTCAAACATCGTCTACACTCACTCATACTCTTCAGATGTCGCTAACAGTCGTCTAATATTTATCTAGGTCTTCCATTTAAGAAAAATTGCAGATTTACAAGTATTACAGCATGTTTTGAAAAACTAACGAAATTTAGGCTATATAAAATTTTTTGAGAGTGTACGAAGAGTAATAAACCCAAATTCTTTACGCTAATTTGTTCATACGATTAAAATCTTACATAAAGTGTAAAAAGATTAGACTAGACAAAAAACGAATCAAATCTTAGTTAGAATTTGTTAAAATGATTATTAGTTTTTTAAGTGAGCTGATACTCTGACGTTGACTAAAAAAAAATATACAACCACATACCATCATTATCATTATTTTGTAGCATATTCAATTGTACATCATCAAACTCTTGCACAATGTCAATAATACTCGAATTTGGTGATAAATAAATACTTTTTGAAGATTCTTCCGATCTATCTAAATCTGGTGATTCACAGTAATATATTGGCTGAAGTTGTTCTAATGGTAAATAATCGACTTCACTATTAGTATCATTTTCAGTCTCAATGTTTGGCAATGGTGTCGTAGGTTCAATATAGTTTTCTGTTTCTAATGTTGCTACATTGTTTTCTGCACACTAAACATAAGAGAAAAAAAGAAAGTATGTGTTAACAAATAATACATTCGATCTATTACGCCATATAATCAAGATGATGACATAACAGCCTTCTACGAGAGGATATATCTCATTAACAGAAAAGAATGAAAAGATCTTCACAAAGATAAAAGTATCGAGACTATTATCACCGTAAACCTTCAAACGGAGAAAGAAAAAAAATGTGTTAAAAACCTGACAGTTATATGGTTGGTGAACTGCATGAACCTTGGTTAACATCAAAATAGCTGTTAATTTATAACGCATACTTAATGATAAGCGCAAAACTTGGTTTTCATTTGAGACCTTCGGTCTCTCGTTGCAAATTTCAAGCTTGACTGACACACTTATTCATATAAATGAGATAACAGACGTTCTGATAATACACAGAAGCAAAGAGAATAATAGGTTCTTCGATGAAGTTTGTGTCGGATCTTGGTTTTTTTTAGCACTTTTTACTTAACAAACTTAAAATAGTTCTTCTGAGAGTCTTTCAACAAGCTATTCATCATTTGTTCTTTCGATGCAATTAAAAATCTGAAGTTATTCTTACCATTAATAGTAGCTCATCCGTATTATTAGATGAATTCAGAGATGATGCGTCAGTTTCTTCTTTACTTAAATCATTCTCACTCATATCCACAACGAGCCAAGTATTATCTTCGATGGCAGCTTCATTCTGCGTCCCATTTGTGACTGTTGTTATTGTTGTTGTTGGTGTATCTCTATTATTTTTATCTCGATTAACATATTCTGTGATTGTATGTTCGGTAGATTGTGAAGTAGTAGGTGATAATGACATCGAAGGTGTATCAAAACATCCATTTTTCACGAGAGCTTGACAAACCTGAATAAAGCTCTTCTTATCTATTGATGATTCATCTTTACTACTACCAGCTGATGCTGATACATCTGTGATAACAGTAAATTTCGTAAATAAATAGTAGAGATATTCAATTAGATTTTGATCAACTTCGGCTACTGTTGGTCTTGGTGCATCATCGGATGATTCATTCAAGCAAGCAACACGCAATACAAGTAAATCGACTAATGTTAATATTTCACTATCAAGAATATTCTGATCAGACATAAATGGTGGTTGTGATATGTTAGTGCTAATTGGAATATTGTTGGTTGATAATGATGATTCACTATTTAAACTATGAGTAGACGTTGATGTTGACGTTGATTGTGATGGTTGAAATATCATTTGATTTGATTTTGTATAAATAGCCGGATATTGATGACGATAAAAATGCGTTGTTAAATTAAATGTACTTGACAAACGATTATCAGACGATTGAGATTCACTGTCGATACTTGACGTTTGATTACGATTCTAAAACGAAACAGAATGGGATATAATTAATCAACAAATTATCGTAATCGAGCCTACTATGTGCAGTCAGATCAATAATTTAAAGTAAAATCAATTATTAGTCACGGTCTTACTTTTCCGAAAACGTTGGTCAGTCGTCTATAGATTCTCTAATTCAAAATATAACACAATTGTATAAAAATTTTCCCGTAATTCATGGCGCGGACACAGATACTATTAACTTACAAATAAGTACTTATCTCGGTATTTGTATTAGCTCATTTTTCCGTCATATTCAAGTTTTTATATTGTCTATTTGTCTTAATTCATGGTATAATAATGTCCTTCAACTAACTGTGCGAGAAAGTTATTATTATACAAAAATTAACATAGTCAAAAGGACGTTAATAGAGTCATATCTACATTGTTAATGATAAAATAGACAATGTATCAAATTTTACCGGAAAATATGGCTTGCGTTACACATACATCGGTTATATAATCGGTATCAAGGCATCTAGGAACATTATTTTAATGCGATTATCAAAAATCATCCTGAGCTGAGGAATGTCTCATTTTGTGGAGAAATGCTTGCTCAATGTATTTGTTAAAAGAAAAAAAGGTTTAAAGTTGATTGGACACACATATGAGCAATCTGAAATACCATAACTGTACACGATAACTGGTTACTACTTTTATACCTGTTTCGAGTCTCTTTAAAAAATCCGTTAAAAAAACTTTTTCTTTTCTCTTTAATTTATTCAATGTATACACACACAGTGCAAACATTTCTCTGCAAAAGGAGACATTTCACAGTTCGAGACGATTTTTAATAACCCTGTTATAACAGTTCTTTTGAATACTTCACAAAAACAGTCAGAAATAATTAATCTATAAGTGGTTTCTCGATTAGAATGATTAATATTGCTTACCAAAATTGAGTTAATCTAGCCTTCTAGCATTACAAATGTATCTAAGTATCGTTTGTATGGACGGTGAAAAATAAATAGTTTGTTTGTTTCTTTTTTCGTTTCGAATTATGTAAAAAAAAATAAATGTTACTTTAAGTCAATAGAGAGAGAGAGAGAGAGAGATTCAATAGCGCACCCATATAAAAACATTGGTTTAGAATCTTTCAAATATCGTTTTCAACACACTTATGGGCAAAGAGAAATTATATTTAAAAGCACTCAATTTAGGATTTTCGATTTCATCGATAGTTTAATCTTTATGTTTTTACTTACCAGTATGAAGTTAGAAATTATACTTTTATAAATATGCGGAAGAAGAAGGAAAAGGAAGAAACTATTGTTGTGTTATAAAAAGAAAAAGTAAAAATGTTTTAGCATTTTCTAGTTTTTTCTTTGAGTTCATTATTAAAATTATTCTTTGCACTTCAACATTAATGTTTTTGCACAAAAAGACACAAAATGTGGCTTAGTCACTAGAATTTTTACTTATTAGCAACCTTTTAATAATAGGTGACAAAAATATTCTAGATTTTCTACATTATATATAGTATACGTTAATCATAAACCAGATTCTTAAAATGTATTGCTTATCTTTCATATCATATGTATTACTCTATACCTGATCAACTTTTTCATAAACATTTGTATGACTTGTTGAACGTAAACCATCGCGTAAATATTGTAAAAATGTATTAATTACTGATGTTGTTGTCGTAACCGATGCTTCTTCACTTGCATAACGACGCCGTCTAGTTGGAACATCGTTTACACTGTCTGTCAATGTTAGAGATGTTAAATCATCCTTTTTTGATAAAAATCGTGGTATGGAATTTCGACGAATTTTTGGTTCAGGAGCACTCGGAAGTTTTCGTCTGTTTTCATTACTATTATTAAGATGTAACGATCGTGGATTACGAGTATAGGATGGATGTTTAATTGATGATGTAATGGATGATGTAGATGAAGAGGACGAATGTGATGTTGTCAAATGTTGATCATATGACGTTGAAAAATTTCGATCCACAAAATTTGTATTACCTATAAATATAAAATAAAATGTAAAAGTGGGTGACTAATAAATGTAAAAAGTGGGCTGACGAGTAAAAAGACAAGTAATTACGATAAAAAATTATCGAGTATAGGCAAGAGGTTATGCACTGAAGAGTTTAAAAAGTATTTTCCAAAAGTTCAAACAGTTATGAATCGATTTATTTATACACATTTATGTTTTCTGTTCATCCAATGGTCAAAAATAAAAATGATTTATAACTATTTTAAACTCTTCAGTAGGATTAGAATACTTGAAATTGATTAGTCTGGATGTTAGCATCCTACACCGATAGCGATAGCGGTAGCCGTAAGGCAGAATAGTCTTTTTTTCTTTCTTATCTCTGCTAACAATATTTCTTTAGTTTCATATGTCAAAGACTTTTATGAAACTAATCAGAAGATAGAAATAAGTAGCAAACTTAGTCGTTTATCGTGCAAATCATCATTGTCAAAACAATCTGCAAAGTAAATGACAAATTTTGATTTACAAAACGTTTCTGTTGCGTTCCATTCAAAATCAATTGATACTTTTAATAAATTAGAAAATTGAAATACTTTACTTCGTTACAGTTTGAACGTGAATATAATTTTCTAATAATAGTCTCGCTATCCGTTATGAATGTCAACGTGTAGACCTATTTGCTTTCTTCTTTTCTTTTTTTTTTTTTTTTTTTAAAGAAAAAAATTGTATTAATTCTTTTTTTTATTAAGCAGTTTAAAAACGTGTAGGTTTTAAATTGCATGTTTCATTAAATTATTTATTTAGAATAAACAGAAAGAAAATGTAGTGTATATGTATGTAATTTGAGTGATATTAAAAGTATTCAGTTCTTATTCAAATATTAGTCGACATTACACAGACATCTCAAACCTGTTCTTGCATAATTTCGTTTTACAGCTTGGTTATTAGTATTATCATCATTATTTGTTCGTTCGTCTTCTTCTTCAATAATCGAATGCATTCGTAGTAAAATGACTACAATCACTTAATTGTATGAATGAACACAATAGTGTGATAACAAAAGATGATGAGTCAAACAAACCGATAAAGAGATTAATTTGTTCTCTCTTGTCATTTTTTATTTTTTTTAATACAACACTTGAAATCCTGTTAAAATAAATCCACCACCAACTACTATACAAAAAAAAAGATATAGCGGATATTTTCTTACTCTCTATGACAGTTTTCAAATGTTGTTTAGAAGTTCACTTATTTTTATGTCGTCAGTTTGGTTAAAAAATACGATGGTGATGATTATTATTACTATTTCTCGACAAAAAAAAGTCGAATGCCATTTTGAGATATGATATAGTAAGAGAGAAAAGTGTGAGATATTTTGTAAAATACTTTATAATCACATATAACTAGAATCACAGACAATAAAATAGAAAAAGAAAAAAAAGTAAAGGTATTTTTTTTCTCTCTCTATTGTACTGTAATCAATATTTACCTTTTTTTTCCAGTAAGACAGGTACAAGAATAAAAAAGAAAAGCACGCATACATACACATGCACTATAAAAATCCTTTAGAGCATAACAATATTCAAGACAAATAGAAAGAAAAAGAGGTCACCCATGGGCATATATCTACCGTCTATTAAAACATAGAGCATTTTCTTTTTGTTCAATATAATGATGACACATTTTCAAGGTTTTCAATCGTACTAAAGCAGGATGTTTTTCAGAGGTAACATTCAAGAATGCAAATCGACTTTTTTAATAATGTTCATTTCACGAAAATATGTTTCTTTTCATTCTAGAATTCTAATGTTTTGCAAAAGATTCACATCACTGTTCATAGAACATATTCTGAAATTTTCATAGCTAAACGTAAAGATGTTCTCAGAAAATCAGCTGCCTAGGAAAATAGTGTCCATAGAGTTTTAAAGGTCCAGTATGTTTTAAAAAAAATGGGTGTCCAATAATAAAAGCTCAAGATTTTCGCTGTCGGTAAATATTTGATGAGTGAGACAGTCATATCTTCGGACATTCTATTAGATTACCAGTAAAATTACCCTTTTCGGTCTGACGAAGCTAAAAAAAGAGTTTATGTTGACTCTATGATAAATTACCATTCAAAAATGTGATAGATAAGTCACAGATAGTAATTGATCTTATTGTGGTTTACTATGCAATGCTTGGGTGTTATATGAAAAGTTAAAAAAAGATATTATCTTGTATTCGTATCTCGTTTTATTTCATCATGTCAATATTATACTCAAGCAACGTGGATTAAATTATCTTGAAGTGTAACCAAAAATATTAAAATATCTAATTAAACATTAACAAATTGAAGTTTACGGTTTGTAACAAGAAATTTTGACCATGACTGCTTTTTTATTGGTAGTTTGGTATTTATATAAAACATTAGAGGTTTACTTTTTCTTTCTCGATACATGATTTGAATCGCTCGCTTTTTAGTTTACTCAATAATTGACCTCGTCTTTGTCATAAAACGTGTACCGCATTTATATTCTCTTCATCATCATCGTTCAAGTACAATAAATAGTATATCTGATAACCTTATAAAAAAAAAAAAGTCCCTGGAAGAATGTAATACACTTAATGAAAGTTTATTAAAAATTCACACATCTATAATAAGTGAGTATATATGTGTTATATTATAAACAAACAAAACAACGAAATATAACTGTTCTATTAAGTTAAGTTCAGAGAAAATAAAATCATTTTTTTCACCTCTAGGAAAAAGTAACTCTATCCGTATATGACGACATATCGATCAATCGATTTATATGATGAATTCACAAGACAAAACTGATCCATTTACATTTATGTTAAATGGAACAATAATTTAATAGAGAACATAACTTATTATCATTACTCCATTGACGTTTTCTTGATTTCATAAATGGAATCAAATCTTTTTTATTTACATATAAAATTTTGATTTTAAAACGTATTTAGTGAGGCTGCTAAAGTTATATAAAGTTCGATTATTTTTAGATGAACCTTTTAAAAGATGATCAATTGAAATATTCTTAATCCTATCTCTTAGAGTATTAATCTTTAAGAACTGTTAGATGAATTTTTGACAGATTCAATAGCAATATCGGATAAAAAAATTCAACGATTGCCACATTTATACAGTTAATCTAAGAGTGATCTATGATCCATTGATGACCTTCATCAAGAAATATGTGATATACAAAGTTAATGTTCGTGAAAAAGTTAAATATATGTAAATGTCGGACATGTGGTGTTTTTGTATTCTTCAGTCAGAATATATTTTCATCAAAAATATCCTAAAGATAATATGTATGGGTGTAGTGATATACAAACTAAAAGAGTTTACATGCCAAAGTGATAATTTTTCTCTAGTTGCATTGTATAGATCTGTTAAAGTCGATTTTAAGTAAGAAAATCAGTTCATTGAATGGGAAGAAAGGAAAGTGAGAAACACCTGTCTTGCGGCTATCGTTGTTGGGTGAAAAATGGTTTCAATTTAGACTAATACTCTTCTCTTTACTAGTTCTAGTCAGAAATCGAGTTTGATAAAGAGTTCTATCATTCAAATCGGATGAGCTCCTCACTTACTAACTATGCACAAGTTTTCTGACAAGCCAGAAGAAACATGTTTGTAAGTTGTAATAGAGTAAAGTATATATTATCGGACAATTGTTCAGAGGTACATGAATATAGGTGACTTGTCTAAGCATGACAAATAACATAATCGTTAAGTCAAACTGCTAAGATAGACCAAACTATTTTTCATACCTGTACATATCATGATATTTTCTTTTCGATGAATTTCAAGGATACAAAAGATGAACAACTATACGATTGTGTCTCTTTTCGGAAGTAATTCAATAGGATGTTGTAGATTCTGTTATACATAATAGATCGGATGAGTTACTAATATAATTGAAATTAATATTATTCATTCAACAGGGCAAAGAGAGAAAAAGAGAGTGTATGTATATATATTTATCTAGATGTTCAATTATGAGTGACAGAGAGAACGAAAAAAAAACGGATTTCTTTCAATCATCGAATCAGTTAACAAAAATAGGAAAAAAAAAAAAAAAAGAATAAAAATAAATCCTACTCGTGAGTAAAAATATGAGATGGGAGAAAGACGGGTTTAGATATTAATATGAACGTGGTTTAACAATAAATAATCAAACAAACATGTCTATTCAAGGAACAACTGAAACAAATGTATGTATCTATCGATAATGATACAGAGAGAATATATATATATATATGCAATATTATACAATATAATGTAAAAAAAAGAAATGAATAACGAAAAAATTATTTTATTGTTATGATTAAAAGGTAAATGTATGTCTTCCTGCAAGACAAAATAATAATTTATACAATTAACTTTAACGAAAGGAGGAAAAAAAGTCAAGTCTCTTTTATTGTATATACGTACAATTGTTGATATTGACATAAAAATCAAAATTTATAGTAGATAGAAAAGAATATGTCTAGGAACTCCATCTTCTTTCCTCAAGTATTTATTTCATATCTTTTGAATAAATTTAAATTTCTATAGAATATCGAAAAGAGACACGATCTGATTCATCTTCCTCTCTCTTTCTTCTTTTTTTTTTTTTGTCAACTCTTTTCATCTAAGAAAAAACAAAAATGTCTAGAATAGACAATAGATATCATAGTAATATAAATTAGCATATTATATCTGACGAAATATCTTGAATAGAAGGTGATGTTTTATTATTGGAAAACTAATTTTCAAAATAAAATTTCAATTAGAAATATTGACAATCAAAAAAATTAATTTATTTCTTAATAGTTTTTTATTTGAATAGAACATTGTTCTTTGGTCAAACATATCTACACATTTAAATTAATAACATGTTAAACTATGTCATATTACACTCTTTTTTTTAAAAATTGAAAATAATTTAATTGTTCTACCCATTTTCTTGATGTAACTTTTTTCATTCGTAAATGATTATCTACATATACGTAAACTTAAAAAATAATCTCAATATTATTCTCTCTCTTACAGTTGGTACATAAAGAACTTGTGCCTTAAATAACATCTTTCCGTTTTTATTCAAAAAATCATCTTTTCTCATGTATCTGAATCAAAGCAAGAATTCATTTACATAATTTGAATTCAATTCTTTGTAATATTGACAAAAATGGCATCAAAGTACAATAACAACTGTTTTGCAAGCAAAAAATTTTACACTTACTGTTCTTTTCCATCGTTATATTTCGTTTTATTTTCAAGTCTTAATCGAACATTTTTTAGGTGTCAACAAAAGGTCTTAATACATAGCAAAAATATTATTCATTCTTTCTCACTATATTCACTCTGTCACATCACCATCATGCATCCACGCATACAGGGATCAAATATAACTAGTTATCTGTGGTATTTATATGTAACATGAACGCGCGATCAATATCTTACAATTTAGATCCTTTTTATTTTTTGTTCTTTTCTTTTTTTCTGTTCATACAAAGAAGCATCTTTTTCCTTTGTTGTCGATAACCAAAATCGATAGTAGACGGCCTATATCGTCGTTACTTTAATAAAATAACTGTCAGTGATGTTCCACATGTGATAGATATAGATTTAATTGCATAATATATATCAACTAAACAAAATACGTGTGTGCAGGTTAGTGTGTTATTTGATATGAACCCTATAAAAACAAAGAGTTATATACGATGATGAAAGATGATTATTACACTTTGCACACTCACGATTTATTCCATAATTTGATGACTTAATAAGAAGTATGTGTATTTAGACAGCTGCTAAATAATTTATCCTTTTTATCAGTATTATTTGCTTAATTGAACAAATTTCTCAACTTTAGTAGAAAAAAGTAATCTGTTTATGGAGCATATAGAAGCAGTGATCACGTTGTAGAGATTGATATCAGATATCACGATCTTTACAAAAAGCTACAAATCAAACTACTTTGATTATACACAATACAAACTTTGGTTACTTTTGTACTCGTGTTTTATCTTCGCAGTGAAACTAAGAATTTCCTCTCCATCGATTCTAATCTCTTTGGACTCCTAACTGTAAGACTATGACGATTTACTTTGATGTGTTATGAATAGAAAGAGAGATTGTATATTTCTTAATGAAAAGCGGGCACGATTAATGCGATGAAATTTACTATCTTGTTCAAGATAAATGTTATCCTCTTATGTTCAGTGGGAGAAGTTACATTTTTCCTAAACTTGTTTTTTTTTTCACAAATATGTTGTACCATACTTTTGCTAGCTATTCTCTCTAGTCTTGTAGTTGTAAAAAAATTTTCAGATGATCTAATTCAAATGAAGAAGAAAAGAAGATAAACTTATCTAAACTTACATTCGAAACACACACTCATTCCAAATCCATTATGTGTAGCATCAAAAATGTCATAAAAATGTACAATAAAAGATATTATCAAAATAGAACAAAAAGAAAAACACTTCATATCTCTTCAGAATAAGTGGATATAATACGATAAAGTGAGAAACTGAACTAAGTTATAACCTTGAACAATGAAATTGGCTATTTCATACATTTTTAAGTCAAATCTTTTCTTCTTCGTGGTTAATTACTCTTGCCGAATAACTTAAAGTTTCAGTCAAGTAATCAAATATAAGGTAGTGCTAAAGAATATCTCTGTGATCCTGTGATTTTATTTGAAAATGTTTCCTAAACTTTTGGAAGTATCCCTCGCCAAAAACAGAAAATCTTATAGATTATCGAATGTGGTGAATACGAAAAAGCACTTTCCAACAACTCAAAATCAACTTTAGTTTTTTTATTCCGGTGATGTACTTCTACTGATATATAATTGTCATTCTGACTAGCATTTCTAAGATGTGTCTATGATAATTTAGTGAGTCATATTATAAATATTAGTATTAATGTTAAATTTGAATCGTATATTATTTATCGCACGGCAAAAAAAATCGTGTAATAAAGCGAAAAATTAAATCATTCTTATAGGAGACTTTGAAGGAGATTGAAATAGAAAATCGACGAGAAAAAGCATGAATCAAGTTCTATAGAGAAAATTGGCAGATAAAATTTGTTCAGTTCAAAATCATGGAAAAAAACGTGAATGAAATCATCATGAGAAAAAAACGCAGAATTGGATTTGAACTAAAAGTAGAAATGAGGGAAAACTGTGGAATAATAGAAAATTATAGAACTCGTTTTTTAGTGATCTTCTGAGTGAAACTCCTCTTTTATTGAATACTAAACGATTTATAGTTTATCCTGCATCACTAAACAATTTGTTAACTTTATCAAATCGTTTCTGGATCTTTCATCCACATCCATGCCGTAAACAGATGAAATATAGTCTAGGACAAGTGACGCAATATAGAAAGGAAACAAACGAACATCTTAAAGACGGGCTACTCTTTGAGTTACATCAGAATTTTATGATCGACTGTATCACGTAAGCTCATCAATACAAAACTAAGTTTTGGAAAAGAAAACAACAGACACATTGAAAATCTGCTTCGAATCCATTCAAACACAATACGATTGTATAGCATTTCCTGTGTGGAAAAAAGAATGCTGCATGTTGAAAAACATTCCATTAATTTGTGATATATTTGTTGATAGTCAAATTGTATTAACAAACGAACAGAGAATGTGTGAATGGTGAACCGATAAAAGCGTGACGATTATCGGTAAAAAAGAAAAGAATAAAAAATTGGCAACCCATGAATAAAAGACGATGAATTTTTACAGTTTTTTAAAAAGAATAAATTTTCAGATCAAAATATTATACAGAACTGACAGACACCTCATTTTGGAG